ATTTATGGATAAATTTAATTTTAAAATATATTTTATTAATGAAATAAAGAAAAGAAGTATCTGAAAAGTAGCTTAAAATGATCACCTATAATAACTTCAGGCAACTCACACTGAAAAATAACTTCAATATTGACCTCAAATGAAAGATCACAAAAATTATGAATTTTCATATTTTTTTTTGTAAAAAATGGAACAAAAAATAAAAACTTGTAACACTTTAAATAAAATTGGGTTTTTTTTATATATAGCCTAGACCCCACCAAATACATCCCCTGCGCCCACCTTCCTTTTTCCTTTGGTAAATAAAAAATGGAATAGAATAGATTTTTAGTTAAAAGTAAGATCATATTAAAGGCTGGAGTTTCGTTGAGACAGAAGACTTATATTAGTAGGTCAAATTTTTATTATTTTCCATCTTCGTAATTCGTTTTTTGTAAAGCCAATAACAAAAATGCAAAAGATGAAGGCACATGGTATAAGTAGAGCAATGCTCTCTAACACTGGTAGATAGACTTGTTGAATAATAATTGGGAGTAAAACCTTATTTATAATAGCCTACTCCTTTTTATACTCCATATATAAATATGTATGCTTTTATACATAATTGGGAGTAAAACCATATGTATGCTTTTTAAAAAAAAATAGAGATCATTAATAAATTACATTTTTTTTATTGATCTCAAATGAAAGATCACAAAAAATTATGAATTTTGATATATTTTTTTGTAAACAATGGAGCTAATTTTTTTCTTATATACATAAATAGAAGACTACATATGAGAGAGAAAAATTTCTCGTTCAATTATTAGTCAATTTATGTTATACCTAAAATCACTACATATGGAAGAGAAAATTTTTCCGCTCAACGATTACCCAGATTATCTTATATATGGAGTACTTAAGAAGAACTACCCGTGAGAGTGAAAGTAAGCTTATCTTTAAAAGATCTTCTCGCTAAATTCTCCAGCTCAATTGTTAGCCGACTTACCTCATACCTAATAACACTAATAACAGTAACTTCAGCCGAATAAGTCAAAAATATTAATTTAATAAAACTCAACTTGAGGTTTGTTTTATTAGCACTTGATGTTTTTATCATTTTCATTTGCTATTTTTCTATTCTCGAGTGACATATAATACAAAGAAATAAGGTTTGTAATAGTTTAATCAAGGGAGTAGAATAAAAATAAAAATAACATTAGATTTTTATTAATCATACAATTGATGAATGCAAATCACTCGTTGTCTTCAATTTAGACCAACTCAAAACAAAAGTAAATAGACCAACTCATTTTTTTTTAATTAGAAGTAATTAGATTTTCATTTGCGGATTTTTATATATATCAAACCAGTGCACATCAAATTATAAAATGCTTTAAGAAAGTTTTCTTAAATAAATTTAGTACTTTTAGATTTTTCCTTTCATGGTCTGATTTTGATTTAAAGACCGTTTAGTAGTACTGAAATTATTAGTTGAATCTGTTGAAATGGATGAAATTCTAAAAGAAGTGATTGATTTAGTTGAAACTTTTGGTGTATGGATAAATTTAATTTAAATTAATTTTATTAGAGAAATAAAGAAAAACATTTTACAAAACGTAGCTAAAAATGATCACCTACAGTGACTTCCCCAATTCAGACACCAAAATAGATCAAAAATGTACTATATATAAATAATTTGAAGTATAATTATAGAGACTGTTAATAAATTATATTTTTATATTCAAAATTGATCTCAAATGAAAGATCACAAAAAATTATGAATTTTGATATATTTTTTGTAACAATTGCATTAAAAATGAAAAAGTTATAACACTTTAAAGAAAATTGGGATTTTTATATCTTGGGCCCCACCAACTGTATCCCTGAGGCTGCTCCTTCCATACCATTGTTGGATGGAGAATTCGGTACTTTTGAATTAAAATGACCACGTGGCAGTTGGAGAATAAGGGAGTAAACTTTGGGTACGGAGACACGTGTGATTATTTGAGGGTAAAAATGTATTTTAATGAGCTATTTCTTTTCTTATATATAAATAGATGTTTTTCAACCTTAAAAGGCGTTAGGTTTTTGTAATCATAGAACAATGGGCCATTACTTCAAAATTTTTGTTTTAAATCCTTTGTTAGACTAGATATAACCAATTAATGATTTTTTAAATCTCCATGTTTAAGCTAGCTTCTGATGTAATAAATCTGAGTAACGTGTATGTATTTGTATATTCTAGAGTTTTCTTTGGATTTTGTGTTCGAAGTTATTCACTTCATTACATTAAAAAAAAGTTCTTCACTTCATTCTAAATGTTTATGTTTTGTAATATGTACTTAAAGAAAAAGTTCTTCACTTCATTCTAAATGTTTATGTTTTGTAACTCCAATGGTCTCATAACTATTATACTTGCATTGTTGGGACTATTTAATGTTTGTAAGTGAGTGGTTAAGTGGTTTACTAGTAGTTATAAAACTTCTATGCCGCTTTCTGAATATCAGACACAAGGTGGTGCCTTACGACCTGTTTGGATCGAGTGTTGAAGGGTGTTAGTAATGGAAGTGTTGAGCAGTGTTGGTATTAACACTTGTTTGGCAGACATTTTTTCTAAAAAATTGGAGTGTTAGTAAGCAGGGGCGGACCGTAGTACAGACCCAGGGGGCGGTCGCCCCCCCCCCCCAACAACAAAATTTTTTAGTGTATATATATTATAAAAAATAATTTTCGCCCTCCCAAAAAATATTTTGTTTAAGTTACCGCCCTCCCAAAACAAACTTCCTGGGTCCGCCCCTGTTAGTAAGTGTTTAAGGGTGTTAGATGAAACCTCCCTAACACCTCAACAAGTGGCTTTTTTAACACCCCAAACCAAATTGGAGTGTTTTGGAGTGTTGACAAATCTTACCCTTCATGTTAAATCGTCGTTCTACCTCCATCCTACTCCCTGGCAGACTTGTCCGTCCATAACCATCGTAACCCTCATCCCGATCTGAAGCATCTTTCCCGGCTAGGCCAACATCTCCTTCATTCTCCATGACTGGGAAACATCTATATCTCCTCTTCAACCCAATTCTGGTGCTCGCCGACAACCATGGTGGTTGGATTGGCCGTCAATGGAATTCTCACTCTAAGCAAACATGTATAATTGCATATTCATGTCGTTTTTTTTAAGAAATTGGAAAATCATGTTAACAACCAAAATATGCTTTGTATATATATACTTAGTATTTGACGTTCATGTTTTTAATGAATTTGTTGTTATTAACTTAAATATAAGGAGTTCGTATATGTATGTGTGTACCGAACCAGGTCTAAAGATAAGCTTTTGAGAAGCAGAGGTATATTCATATTGCTTTTAGGATTTAAATGAGGGCCTTATTGTCAATTTAACCGAAAACACTTTCATTATTAACACCTCATTTTTAGGTCTCCCAAACAATGTAGGTTTATGTTTTACATTTACACTTACCTTCCCTTCCGGACCCCTGTCAACATTTACTAACACTTCCATTACTAACACCTTTCAACACTCCATCCAAACAGGTCGTTACGCTCATGAGTTTGAGTGAAAAAATTAGTTGGTAGATGATTTAACAGAATCGGTATAAGATGCAAATCATGGATATATATTTCAACTAACTTCTTACTTTATACTCCGTATTTGAACTCTACATTTTAGGCTTCGCAATGTGAAGGGATAAGGGTCAGATAGGGCCTCGAACTTGAAAAAAATGTCAAATAAGGCCATATTTAAGATGTTCTGTCCGGCCGACGCCATTTGGGGTGGTTCCCGGTGGAATTTTTTGATGAATTTTTTTGAGAATCTTATTCATTAAGTCTAGTTTACTCATATCAAATTTGAGCTAACAATTCAATCGGGAAGGCATTCAAATGAATTCATGAAGATAACTGCGCTTTTAACGGTACATTTATCTTCAAGAATTCATTTGAATGCATTCCCGATTAAAGTTTTAGTTCAAATTTGATATGAGTAAACTAGACTTAATGAATAAGATTCTCAAAAAAATTCATCAAAAAATTCTACCAGAAACCACCCCAAATGGCGTCGGCCGGACAGAGCATCCTAAATATGGCCTTATTTGACATTTTTTTTCAAGTTTGAGACCCTATCTGACCCTTATCTCTATTCTAAACCATGATTGAAAATACTAAATGGATATGGGGATGATGAGGTTCAACAAAGAGATGAATATGAAAACAAACCATTTTATATATGATACTCTATATTTCTCTTAAAATAAACTTTTAAGAGTTTATAACTTTAGAAACTGCTCAATATAGGATCAAAGCATACTTATCTTCAAAAATAAGATTGATCAAGTATATTATATTCCCCAAACAGGACTTCTTTAGTCCTTATAACTTGATTAGAATTTCCCAAATTAAGAGTGAATGAGTCATATTTTGAGAATAAAATAATGACAATCTTATTTATGAACTTTAAAACATCTTCCCAAATTTAAGGGAAAACTGTCAAATAGGTCCTCGAACTTTCATAAAAAAGTCAATTAAGTCCTTCTATAGGAGACTCTGTCCGGTCGTCGCGATTTGGGACGGTTCTCGGTGGAATTTTTTGATGAATTTTTTTGAGCATCTTATTCATCAAGTCTAGTTTACTCATACCAAATTTCAGCTAAAAATGTAATCGCGAGCGCATTCAAATTTATTCGAGAACGCAAAAATGTGCAGTTATCTTCAAGAATTAATTTGAATGTGTTCCCGATTGAATTTTTAGCTGAAATTTGGTATGAGTAAACTAGACTTGGTGAATAAGATGCTCAAAACATTTCATCAAAAAATTCCACCGGGAAATGCCCCAAATCGTGACAGCCGGACAGAACCTCCTATAAAAGGACTTAATTGACCTTTTTATGAAAGTTCGAGGACCTATTTGACAGTTTTCCCTTATTTTAATCTTATTTAGAGAATTTTCTCAGTGTTACATAATCTTTCTTCCAACCCTTACTTAGAAAGCTAACCGGTCTTGATTAATTTTATGAAATAATTACGTCAATATGATTAAAATAAAGATGGTTTACAAGAATATGACTAGTTAATAGAGTAGTAATGAAATCACAGTAATTCATGTTCAAATTTTGAACTTAAGTTACCACAACACTACATTCTAGTAATAAATAGTTATATTTATGTAAATAAGTTTTATTTTAGTAATATTTCAGTAAAAACCCCTAATTTTATTATTCATAGTACTGAGTTGCAACTTTTGCAGCAAATGTTTTGAGATTCATGCCGGAAGAACCACCTTCCTTGCTCGCCTCCATAGCCAAATCCCTCCATTTTTTAGCATTTCTTCTCAATTCATCTCCTTCACCTCCTTTACCCAACACGATTTCTATACACCTCTTTATCTCATCACTCCCAACAACTTCAACACCGGCATCATTCTTCGCCTTCGCCGCCACACGCACGCCCGTCTTCCACACATCTTGAATAAGTTTTGCATTGGTCCCTTGGTCGGCCCAATGAGGGAACGCCACCACGGGCACACCGCTGCATATGCTCTCGAGCGTCGAGTTCCAACCGCAGTGGGTGATGAAGCAACCCAGAGACGGGTGGCTCAGCACCTCCATTTGAGAGCACCAACCCAATATCTTCCCTTGTTTTTCCAACTCCTCCCTATTACTAAACTCTTCTTCCTGGTCTTCTGTCCTTTCTTCCATTTCATTTTCCAATTTATGTCTAATAACCCACAAGAAAGGCCGTTTAATCTCCAATAGTGCTTTGGATATCTCTTCTTTTTGGGATTTGCAAGGATTCAAGAAACTCCCGAATGATATGTACACCAAAGATGACTCAGGCTGAGAATCTAACCAATTTTTTATATTGTCATTTTCAACGTTCTTGAATAGGTCCCCACGAAATGAGGTGTTTGAGGGGTCATTTTTGTATTGAGGGATCAATGGCCCAATACCGAGCAAATTGTACCTGTTAACACAATGGACACATTTATATATGGAGTAGCTATGAAATCACAATGGGTGAGGTCGTGAGGACCATTGGCATGTGCCTCGTAGGCTGAGAACAAGGTGGGGCTCAGGGACGAGTCAAGAGGTGAAAAAATTTGAAATAATTACATAAATATGACCAAAATAAAGATGGTTTACAAAAATATGATTCATTACTAGAGTAGTAATGAAATCATAGTAATTCATGTTCAAGTTTTGAACTTTAGTTACCACAGCACTACGTTGTAGTAATGAATAGTCATATTTATGTAAATAAGTTTTATTTTAGTAATATTCTTGTAAAAAACCCAAAAAATTTCGGTAGTATAGAAAGTGATTTTTTTCCACTAGTGTCGCGAGATGAAATTGTTTTCGCTAATGGTGGAAACAAGGTGGGGCTTAGGGCGGGCCAATGATGGTGGATCAGAGATATTCTCCCGCCCATCCCCGCTCTATCCTTCATTAAGGAATACATCATTACTATCTTCGTCCCATAATGTAACATTTTAGTTTGGTGCAGATTTTAAGAAAATAAAAGATAAACTGGTTGTTTTACAATTTTAAATTGCAAAATATAAGGAAGAGGAAGACGGACAGATCCACACAAATTAAAAAAAGGAAACGATAGATAAAAGGATAAAGTAGCAAAATAAAAAGTTAATGGAATACAATTTAGAAAAATGATCATATTTTTGGACAACCCAAAAAAAGTGTATATCTTAAAATAAAAACTTATAAACACCAATGAAGGTTAGGGTATTTTTGACATATAAATTGTGTTGATGTAACACAAAGCAACATATTGTTGTACAATATGGTCTGACCATTGTACTTTAGACTTTTAGTGCTACTCATCGGTTACCTCCGTTAAAAAAAGAAGTCCTATAATAGCTTGGATGTGACTAGAAAATTGGAAGTTGTATGAACTTTGTGAGAGCTAGCTAGACTTGAGAATATAATATGGTCTTTTTGGATCCACATTTCTGTTGCATTCAACGTGCACATTAAATATTATTGGGCATTATTTCACATGCGCAACGCGCGTCGTAAAACTAGTTACAAAATAAGACGGAAAGAGAATTAATCTATTACTAAATACATGATAGTACGGAGTATTAATTATATTCCCTGTATAATAATTCGGTAATAGGAACATTCTTTGGTCTCTTTACAATTCAGATATGAAGAAGCGACACCATTATTTTGAAAACTGAAATTGAAAGATAGATACTCCGTATTGACTATTGAGTTTGTGTAGTATGATCGAGAATAAGAAATGAGCTATAACAATACAAATAATACCAAATACATCTCATATGTGACAAACTTAGTAGAACACATGAAAAATAGATAGTCAAAGGAAGGAGTAGTGGAGTGGACTTTCTAAGTTTTGTGTATACTTGTATATTTGTGGAGATGATATTACGTGATCAAATACAAACTCCTTCTGAATTATAAACTCATGTTGATCATTCTTAAAGGCTAAAAACAAACGATGACATTTCGGTTATAAAACCAAACTTTTTGTGAATGCAAAAGTTTGAACCTTAATACGCAAGTGTGTATTACATCATATAATTATATACTTCCTCCGTTCTTAAATAAGTGCAATAGTCAACTTTTCACATTTGCCGAGCCACAACTTTGACCGCTTATATATGTATAATTCCCTATGAGTAAAAAAATTTAGAAAATCAGATTGTGAAAACTTACAATGAGACAAATTTAACAAAAAAAAATCGAAAAAAAAATAATGCATTGATAAATAAAACGTAGTCAAAGTTGAACATGTGAATAGTGTAAAATTCAACATGTTGCACTTATTTAAGAACGGAGGTAGTACAACACTTTGAACATCAATATGTAATACAAGAGGAATGTTCAGGTCCGAACATTCCCCGTCCGAGCACCGTCCGAACATGGACGTTTGGGCCACTCCCCGGCGGAATTTTTAATGAAATTTTTTGAGCATGTTCCCCATCAAGTCTAGTTTGTCCATACCAAATTTCAGCTCAAAATTCGATCAGGAAGGCATTCAAATCATTTTTTGAAGTTGACTGCGTCAAAATATACATATAAAAACGCAGTCAACTTCAAAAAATAATTTGTATGCCTTCCCGATCGAATTTTGAGCTGAAATTTAGTATGTACAAACTATACTTGATGAGGAACATGTTAAAAAAATTTCATCAAAAAATTCTACCGGGAAGGGCCCCAAACGAGGATGTTCGGACGGAGGCTTCTGTCCGAACGTTCGGACCTGATCATTCCTTGTGTAATACAAATAGCTTAAATATACATCGTTCAAAGTTTTGCACAATAAACATAGTTTGTATCGGATTTGCCCCTCTTACATAGAAAATATATGGAGCATAGTAAGGTGTGTGGATAATGTAAAATTCAAAGTCTTGCATCTACTACGTATTAAAGAATGGATGAGTAATAAAATTGAAGAAGATCAAAAAATTTAGTGTGCATATATATACGGAGTAGTTTTTATCTTAAATTAGGAGTCATCATCATTATCATTATCCCAGTGCCGCAAAGGCCCCACCTTCGGTAGGGTAAGGGGAATCGGATGTACGCAGTCTTGCCCTTATAATAAAGTACAAAGAGACTGTTTCCGAATGACCCATAGTGAAAATCATGTCGATAATTGCATGGACTGACTGACTGCTTCATAATAAAGAAGCGCAGACAATTTTGTGAGCCATTTTAGGAGTAAAATTTTAGTACTAACTAGTATAGTACCCGTGCATACGCACGGGAAAAAACGGTTGGTCATATATTTTATTCACTATCTAATTAAATATTAAAATAATTTTTTTTTAATTTTTAGGATTCTACATTTTCGAAAAATAAAAGTACAATAAGCTAATACCATAAAATATAAATTCATACAATAAATATTCAATGAAGAGTATATTAGGAAAAATTAATTAAACACCACTCATTAGAATTTGCTACTTATTAATTTTTATGATTAAATTAATTTTAAATTTAAATACTAATCTAAAAAAGTGAATGCAATAAATATTAAAATTAATGAATATTACGTACTCCGTATTAGTTATATTAGAATTTGTTGCTCATTAGTTAAATTAGTGCTAGCATATGAGAGGACAATTATCCTACCCAATTCTTAGTTCGCTTATCTGATACAAAAAGGGACTACATATGAGAGAAAATTCTCTAACTCGATTGTTAGTTAGCCGGATTAGCTAATACCTAAAAGCACTACAGCTTAATTGTTAGCCGACTTATTTTATACTTAAAAATTTACATATACAAGAATTCTATATTCAATTGTTAGTAAGTTTATCTTCTAATACATATAAGCATTACATATGAGAGAGAAAATTTCCACGTTCAATTGTTAGTCGGCTTTTGTTATGTTATACCTAAAAGAACTACATATAGGCGAAAAAAATCTCACTTATTTGTTAGCTAGACTATCTTATACTTAGTACTTAAAAAGATTTACATGTGAGAGAGAAAGTTTCATTGCTCAATTATTAGCAAACTTATGTACTTATACCTAGCTAAAACTCTTACATATGAGAGAGAATAATTCTTTTGCTAAATTGTTAGCCGGAAATTTATCTTTTAGTACCTAAAAGAACTACATATTAGAGAAAAATTGCCCGCTCAATTATTAGCCGATTTGTCTTAAACCTAAAAGCGTTATATATGATAGAAAAAATTCTTCTTCTCAATTATTAGTTGGATTATTTTATACCTAAAAACTACTTATGAGAGAGGAATGTTTCTCGCTCAATTATTAGACGGGTTATGGCTTATTCTTTCTTATATCTAAAATCTTATATAAAAAAGCACTATATATGATTAAAAAAAATTATACGCTCAATTGTTAGGTAACTTATCTTACCTTATACTAAAAAGCATTGCATATGAGAGATAAAATTTACCTGGATAATTGTTAGCAGGCTTATCTTTTTAGCTTCTTATACCTTCAAGTAATACAAATGAAAGATAAATTATTCTGCTCAATTGTTTTTGTCGGATTATCTTATCTTGTATACTTGAAAGAACAACATATATATGAGATAGAAATCTCGCTCAATTGTTAGCAAGTTTATCTTATAATACCTAAAAGCACTACATATGAGACCCCCCTCCCCTCAATTCTCCCGCTCAATTGTTGCAATTTTATCTTCTAGTCTTGTATAATATAATAATACCTAAAAGCACTATATATGAGAGAGAAAATTCCCCTCTCAGTTATTAGGAAACTTATCTTCTTATATCTAAAATCACCACATATGAGAGAGAAATCTCTCACACTTAATTGTTAGCCGGTTTACCTTCTACCGAAAAGCACTACATATTGCAGAGAAATATTGCACCTCACTTGTTAGCCGAATTTTATACTTAAAAGAACTACATATGACAGAGAAAGTTCTTCCCCTCAATTGATAGCACACTTATCTTCTAATATCTAAAAACAATACATATGAGAGAGAAAGTTCTCCCGTTCAATTGTTACGCGGTTTATCTTGTACCAACAATACATTCTGGTTGGTAATCTAATATAGTGCTTCTTTCATGATCCATTCTATAGTAAGAGATGTACATTTTTTTGTTCAAATATTCTTGAGTTGCTAGATTAGGAATCATCTGAAACACTTTCGTAAATTTGTCTTGTTTGTATGTTCAGAATTGGAAGTACACAATAATAACCAAATTCAAGTATATTTATAATTTTGAGTCACTTACATATTATAAAGATAATATGTCAACATGTTGATTTTTTAATGAAATGCGATTGTTTTTTAATATTCTCATTCTTTTTTTCTTTTTAAAAGTCTTTTTTAAAAAGACTCTTTTTATTAGCCATTGATCTATTGTTACTTTCATGATCTAATTTTCATATTTAGAGTCAGTTTAGTTACATTGAAATTAGCTAAATCGTTTGATTCTTTTGAAATTGATGAAGTTCTGGTAGAAGTGACTGAATTGGTTGAATATGTTGATTTATAGATAAAGTAAATTTAAATTATATTTTATTAATGGAGTAAATAAAAAATTATGTCGAAAGTAATTAAAATTATTTGTACAATAACTTCAGTCGAATTAGTTAGAAAATAATTTCAATAAAGCTAGATTAAATAGACCAGAGCCCGCAGTTTAAAACAAACTAAAATGATAAATCCACATTTTCATATTTTCTCCATTTCTTAAAAAGCAAGAATAATGTTTCTAGTGGTTTAATGAAAGGAGTAGAATAAAAAAACGAAAATAACATTAGATTTGTATTAATCATCGGGTTGATGAATTCAAATTACTCATCGTCTTCACTTTAGACCAAATAAAAAAAGAACTTAATAGACCAACTTGAAGTTTTATTTTATTAGAACTAATTGGATTTTCATTTTCTAATTTTTTTATATATCAAACTAATGCAATTCACATCATAAAATACTTAAAGAAAGTTTTCTCAAATAAATTTATTATTTTTAGATTTTCCTCTTTCATGGTCTGATTTTGATTTTAGAGACTTTATAGTAGCAGTGAAATTGATATAATTGAATGAGTTCAAATAGATAAGCTCTAAGAGAAGTGGTTGAATTAGTTGAATCTATTGATTTATGGATAAATTTAATTTTAAAATATATTTTATTAATGAAATAAAGAAAAGAAGTATCTGAAAAGTAGCTTAAAATGATCACCTATAATAACTTCAGGCAACTCACACTGAAAAATAACTTCAATATTGACCTCAAATGAAAGATCACAAAAATTATGAATTTTCATATTTTTTTTTGTAAAAAATGGAACAAAAAATAAAAACTTGTAACACTTTAAATAAAATTGGGTTTTTTTTATATATAGCCTAGACCCCACCAAATACATCCCCTGCGCCCACCTTCCTTTTTCCTTTGGTAAATAAAAAATGGAATAGAATAGATTTTTAGTTAAAAGTAAGATCATATTAAAGGCTGGAGTTTCGTTGAGACAGAAGACTTATATTAGTAGGTCAAATTTTTATTATTTTCCATCTTCGTAATTCGTTTTTTGTAAAGCCAATAACAAAAATGCAAAAGATGAAGGCACATGGTATAAGTAGAGCAATGCTCTCTAACACTGGTAGATAGACTTGTTGAATAATAATTGGGAGTAAAACCTTATTTATAATAGCCTACTCCTTTTTATACTCCATATATAAATATGTATGCTTTTATACATAATTGGGAGTAAAACCATATGTATGCTTTTTAAAAAAAAATAGAGATCATTAATAAATTACATTTTTTTTATTGATCTCAAATGAAAGATCACAAAAAATTATGAATTTTGATATATTTTTTTGTAAACAATGGAGCTAATTTTTTTCTTATATACATAAATAGAAGACTACATATGAGAGAGAAAAATTTCTCGTTCAATTATTAGTCAATTTATGTTATACCTAAAATCACTACATATGGAAGAGAAAATTTTTCCGCTCAACGATTACCCAGATTATCTTATATATGGAGTACTTAAGAAGAACTACCCGTGAGAGTGAAAGTAAGCTTATCTTTAAAAGATCTTCTCGCTAAATTCTCCAGCTCAATTGTTAGCCGACTTACCTCATACCTAATAACACTAATAACAGTAACTTCAGCCGAATAAGTCAAAAATATTAATTTAATAAAACTCAACTTGAGGTTTGTTTTATTAGCACTTGATGTTTTTATCATTTTCATTTGCTATTTTTCTATTCTCGAGTGACATATAATACAAAGAAATAAGGTTTGTAATAGTTTAATCAAGGGAGTAGAATAAAAATAAAAATAACATTAGATTTTTATTAATCATACAATTGATGAATGCAAATCACTCGTTGTCTTCAATTTAGACCAACTCAAAACAAAAGTAAATAGACCAACTCATTTTTTTTTAATTAGAAGTAATTAGATTTTCATTTGCGGATTTTTATATATATCAAACCAGTGCACATCAAATTATAAAATGCTTTAAGAAAGTTTTCTTAAATAAATTTAGTACTTTTAGATTTTTCCTTTCATGGTCTGATTTTGATTTAAAGACCGTTTAGTAGTACTGAAATTATTAGTTGAATCTGTTGAAATGGATGAAATTCTAAAAGAAGTGATTGATTTAGTTGAAACTTTTGGTGTATGGATAAATTTAATTTAAATTAATTTTATTAGAGAAATAAAGAAAAACATTTTACAAAACGTAGCTAAAAATGATCACCTACAGTGACTTCCCCAATTCAGACACCAAAATAGATCAAAAATGTACTATATATAAATAATTTGAAGTATAATTATAGAGACTGTTAATAAATTATATTTTTATATTCAAAATTGATCTCAAATGAAAGATCACAAAAAATTATGAATTTTGATATATTTTTTGTAACAATTGCATTAAAAATGAAAAAGTTATAACACTTTAAAGAAAATTGGGATTTTTATATCTTGGGCCCCACCAACTGTATCCCTGAGGCTGCTCCTTCCATACCATTGTTGGATGGAGAATTCGGTACTTTTGAATTAAAATGACCACGTGGCAGTTGGAGAATAAGGGAGTAAACTTTGGGTACGGAGACACGTGTGATTATTTGAGGGTAAAAATGTATTTTAATGAGCTATTTCTTTTCTTATATATAAATAGATTACTCTTACTCTTAAATTAGGAGTAAGAGTAAAAAATAATTCAGCAAAAAAAGGCCAGTTACGCACTTTGGACGGGTCAATTCATTCATTGAGGCGGCAAACAAATTTGATGCCCAACCAGGCCTAGCGTCTAGAGGACTAGTTGGGCGGCTGATGTTAACATGGACGACGGTAAGAAATTTTCGCACCTGATGTTAACAGCTGCCTTTAGTGTTTGTGCCTCTAAGGCGTCGAAAGTGTTGACCAGAACCGTCGCATCATTGGGGTCAACATCGTCTAGCTGCTCCATATCCTCTTTGAAGGCAGCGAGGGCGAAACCGTAAATTCCACCAGAGCCGGAAGGGAGCAAGAACGACGGGAGATCGCCGCCCGAAAGCGGCGGCAACCCCGGCAGCTCCACCACCTCCTTCCCGAAGGCGTCCTCGTACCCGTGGAAGTAGTAGTAGTATATGCCCAAGACGGCGGCCGGTTGAATCCACAGCAGGGCGGAGGGGACGTTGACCTCACGCGCCACGTCCGCAACCCACGGAAGCATGATCGTCCGGACGATCGCCGTCACGGGGAAACCGTCGGCGGCGCAGGCGGAGACGATGTCTTTCAACGCCTCAGAACCGTGGGTCCTGAGCTCGGACAGGTAGTGATTGAAGTCGTCGTTCTTTTTGAAGCCTTGGTCGTATCCGTCGGAGAAAGCGGCGATGTTGAAGCCGGCGGCGTGGGGAACGCCGGCGCCGTTGGCTTTGATCATTAAGCGGTGGGCGAAGACGGTGGTGGCAAGGGTGACGTGTATACCCATGCGGATGAGGCGCTCGGCGAACTGGAGAGAAGGGTTGATGTGTCCTTGGGCCGGAAAAGTTGCTATCACAATATGCCCTGGCGGCGGCTGCCGCTGGTGCACCATTTTTGTTGACATGTTTTATTAGGGAGGATTACGGTTTCGAAATGTATGAGTTACCAGTTACTAGTATATACTACTCCTTCCCATATTGGTCTGCAAACTCATTCTTGAATCAACTAATACTCCTTAATAAACATTTCAAAAAAAAGAAATTGATCTTAATAGGACTAAAACATGATCAAAATTCAACAATAAGACTATATGTTTTAAATTCTCTAAATAGGACCACCGATTACCATTCTGCCCTTCACATCCTTCTGCAATTCATCAGCTTCTCTTGATCGATTGCAAAAATTCATCGCAACAGCTCCTCCACTGACTTTGGCCTCGCACCGCACTTGTGTCGATCGTAGGTAACCTCCTACTCCTCCTCTTCCTCTTCCTCTCTTTCTTCTTTCTTCTTCCCCTAGTCCACTTCTTCGATTCCCCCTTCTTCACTCTGTTTTCTATTTTTTCTTCTTCCCCTGGTGCACTTCTTCGATTCCCCCTTCTGCACTCTGTTTTATATTTTTTCTTCTTCTATTCATCTACTACCTTTTTAAATTCTAAATTTTTAAATTCTAAATGATTTTTTGGATTTTATTCAGACAAATGCCACTTTCATAATTTGAGAATGTCAAAAAAAATTGTTATCTAAAAAACCTGCCATGTTTGTGGCAGTACATTGTATCAGGATAGAAATCTAAGAATGTCATATGTCCATAAGAAAATGCCATTAACATGTCGTTATTCGTATTAAGTGGCATAAAGTTAGTAAGAAAATGCCATTAATGTGTAAAAGTTAAAGTTCAGTAAGAAAATATCATCTTTATAAAGTTAGTGGCATAAAACTGACATTATTTTGTGAAACAGACAAAAATATGACATTCTACAGTCTTATAATTTTAAAATAATAGTGTCATCTTAATAGGTGCAATGTCATAAAAGTGACATTTTTTCTAAATGTTATTTATTTTATGGCATTCTTAAAGTCCAGATTAATCAAAATCAATAAATAAAATTCAAAATCAAAGAAGAAGAAAACAGAGGACATTGAAGAAGATGAGAAGAAGGAGAAGGAGAAGAAGAGAATGAGGAAGAAGAAGTGAAGAAGATGACCTGCTATTTGAAATAAGAAGCTACTTTCCCCTGCACTTGTTGGTGACAGATTGTTGAGCAGTGATCTTTTGGACGGCAGCAAAGGCGGCTTGAGAGACCAAGATGTAGATGGGAGCAAAGTTTTGCCGGAGAATTCCTTGCGGCCACAGTCTTCCCAGAAGCGCACGCCTGGGAGAGTTTTTAGTTTTATTTCATTAAGGATATTTTTGTCAGATTAGCTCTTTTTAGTCCTATTTTTGTTTAATAAAACATATCAGTCCTAATTTTGCAATTCTATATTGTTTTAGTCCTATTTAGGAAAATCTCTCTTCAAAAAAACAATCAACAAATAATAAAGTTAAATCACTAATATTGATAATTAGTTGAATTTTAATAATTATTACCTCTGTCCCGCTAAGATTGTCCCATTTTATATTTTTGGAAAATCACATTAAGATTATCTCATACTAAATTTAGTAAAATTTATATGATTCTAAATCATTTTTAATTTATTTTTCAATTTAATATGGGAGTTAGGTAATTCCTAAATAGGAGTTTAACCGGAACGCAGAACAAAGTGAGGATCAAGACGTTTGCGAACACATCAAAGAAATTTATAAATGAGACAGAACACCCAACGTCCAAAATATGATATGATTATGTAAAGTTAGTATTTGTTTAATTTTATCTATTTAAATCTAGTTTGATATGACTTACACTACAACAAAAATGATTTATAGAGGCGGGACATAGTTGCCTCTATAAGTAGAAATGTAGCCTCTAATTACTTTTAGAGGCAATTTATTGTTTGCCCCAAAGGCGCCTCTAATTAATCCGTCCCTAATTGATGGTTGCCTCTAAACCTATTTTTTGAGGCAACAAAAAAGTGTGACTCTAAACCATATATCTTTAGAGGCAACCATATTATGTTGCCCCAAAATATCATTAGAGGCAATCAAATTATATTGTCTCAAAATATAATTAGAAGCAAACGTAATTATATTGCCACGAAATGAAATTAGAGGCAATGTCATATATTGTCACTATATAATTAGATGCAATTTATTTCTTTGTTATTTATGCTTTTAGAGACAACAATACGAAAAATGCTAATTTGTTGCCTCAATTAGATTAAACAAATCATTATCAATCGTTAAATGCATTATCAAATGCGAACACTTAAATTACACATTTTGCAATATTTTTGTAGTATCATAAAACACTACATGAGATTATAAGAATAGTTAACAATAAATTTCATTACAGTTAGTCATAACTGGCTATAGGCCTATAGATTATAGAACTTAAATTCAGAACAAAGTTTAGTCATATATACAATGACGGAGTTACATAAGTTAACTTTAAGTAAATTACAACTAGTCAATAAATCTCAATAATACAAAGCAAGAACAAATTTAGTTGCGGCTAACTATTCAGCTGAAACCAGATGAAACTAAAGGCCAAGGAATAAATCTACTTCATTGTCATCATCTGTTGGCATTTCCTCGCTCTATCCATCCATCTGAAACATCAGAAAAAGTAAATTAGTATTTTATAAATATTAATATAAAAAACTAATTTAAGAAATGACTAAGAAAGTTAATGTGATGAGATAACTCATTAGTTATTAGCTATGGAAAATCATAGACTGAAACTAACACTAAATAAAAAAAAACAGCAATAAACAAATTGTGTGAAATTTGTGTATGGAAAAACTGCAATCGCTAACACAAAACTAACTTCCCTTACTAAGTCATTATTGTTGTATTACAGTTTTGTCTTTTATTCTTTAAGTTATTATTATTATTATTATTATTATTATTATTATTATTATTATTATTTATTAATAATGTGGAATTTTTGTGTTGTCTAGAATTCCATGACCTTATAGCTACATGTAGCTTATTATACTCTCATATTGTCCACTCAAGTTGTTACTATTTTATCACTACTCAGTATCTTGGGCTTGTAAAAATATCATAGGCTTGTAAAAATCATAAATGAAGGTATTAACAAAAACCCGTAGAATACCAGACATCATAAAGACTAAAAACTGGTAGTGCCAAAGATAAGACACAAACATATATACTTTGATGATGTTTTCATATGCAGAACCAGAGAAGCTCAAGACTTACCTCTTCCACATGCAGTTTGGTCAAAACATGCTCTAAGAGTTAATTCTTGTTCCTTTTGGTCAGAATGTCTGTGAAAAACTCTATAATCATAGATCAAATGTTTTCGTATGAGAAGGTCTATATTCTGAAGTAGTTAAAATTAAACAGATCAATTCCGAAATAAACCTTGTAGTTTGTACACAAGCAGGGCTACAAATGCAAACTTTAAACCACATATATAAAAAAGTAACTGAAATCAATAATGGTTGGCTTCTCTGTGTACAAACTAAGCACAAGAAGAGAGGCATTTAAATATGTACTCCGTATTTACAAAGAAGTGGGGTCTTCACGCAAGTAAAAAATATCATCATAAGCCAATGGTTTAAAAATTAACACAACCAAATTCACAAAATTAAACACAAAACTAACAAAGAATATAGTATGTAGTTACTAATCAAATTCTTGCCTTTTAAATTACACTTTTGGGTTAATTAATTTATACAAACACACAATCTATTTTATTTCCATAACCTAAGGAGTTACTTATTATCCCAGTAACTCTAATAAAAATAAAGGATGTTAAAAACTTTGAATAAATGAAATTAAAGTTAGTGAAATGGAAATATGAAAAAAAGTTTTAATCATATATGGACAACTTTGAAAAAAGAAATTTGCAACCACATGAAAGGATCTTCTGTACCATATAATCTTACAACTTCAATTGAAACAATGCACTGAGATAACGCCTAGCAGGAGTACAAATGAAGTGGTGTGTACAGTTCAGATATCACATACAAACTGCTTTAGCTCTGGAAAATGGCATTCCTCAATACTTTTTTCCCAGTTTGCATTCATCCACCCTCCAATTTTCCATGTCTGAATGCACCAATAGAAATACAAAAGATGTAAATAAAGCTCCAGATTAGTTTCGAATTTGAGATCAATTTTTTCTTTTTACAAAAAAAATGGAGTAATAACTTAACATCCAACCCCAATTAAAATTCTAAGCAAATAAAATCCACCCTCTTTAAAAAAAAGAGCATCATAATAATGTGATATTCCTCTCAATTCTGAAAAAGAGGACCATCCATAACTCAAGTATTAGCTAATTGGAAATCTGTTTTTCTCTTCATACTTGATGTAGTAAATGGAATCGTCAGAAATCACAATTCACAAGTGTATATAATCAAATACGATTACATCATAAGCAATTAATAAAGCACATTAGTAGCACAATTCTCAATTGTTTTCATATTGAGAACCAAGAATCCGTAAGGAATATCAAAGACCTAACAAGGTATCAAATGTGACACGAAATTGGTAAATGAAATTGTGAGATAGGGTTTTGTAGTTGCAGTGGGGATTGGGCTTACCTAGTAGCGGGAGTGGAAATAGGCGGATGAGAGGAAGAATTGGGCGGAACAAAAGGATCGGCGGAGCAGCTTATGGATTCTTCCTTCGGCATTCTCATCCATTTTAGCCCGTTGGTCCGGGCACACGATTGATGAACTTAGGGAGAAATACTTACCGGATGATAAGGCGAACATGGAGAAGATGAAGATTACAGCCTCTCGCCTTAATTGCTTCAAGAAGAAGAGCTGTCTTCGCGAACAGAGAAAGAAGCTTGGAATCAATGCCCTCTTCTCTGAACTCTGCTCCGTAGGTATGGTCGTATGGATTAGGGGTTGAATTGGAGGTGCTAACTTAGGGTTAATATTATTTGCGGCAATGGTGAAAAAGAAGCGGCAATCTTCTAAAAATTAGAAAATTGGGAAATTGAGAGAGAGTGAAAAAGAAGCTGCAAAAATTGGGAAAGTTTTGGTTACGTAGTGGTTATTACTCATTACTAAAGATGCTGAAATTGAGGGGCCAATTTGCACAAAA